TTTTTAGTAGAGACAGGGCTTCACCATGTTGGCCAGGTCTCTAACTCCTGGCCTCAAGTGAGCCGCCTGCCTCAGCCTCCCAAAGTGCTGGGATTATAGGAGTGAGCCACTGTGTCTGGCCAAATGCCGCTTTTAAAAAAAGTACTATATAAGCGCTGGATCCTCTTGACCTACTGATTTGAAAATAGGAAGGTGGGAAGACCCACTGAGACGGAGGGAAGAAGGATCTAGAGGTGGAGGAGCTGGGATGAAACCCAGACCCTCAGAGCATCTCATCTGGGAGGACAGAGGTCAGTGGGGTGAAGTGCTCTTTCTCACAGTGTCTTGGGAAGAATGGAGGGGCTAATAGGTAAATTCCCTGATGAGGTATGATGCAAATCTGTGCTGCTTCTAAAAGATCATTCCCACTTTATTTTATATAGAAATCCCAGAGTCCAGAGCAATACCAAACAGATGCTGCAGGGCCCATTTATACCTTGGCAAGCAAGCCGTGGTGTTCCCAATTCATTTATGCAAACAGGAGCACACGTACAGCCTTCTAAAAAGGTGTAAGAAATTTTAATTACAATGATAAATAGCATGATCAATAATAAAGTTTTAATATCCCTGGCAAACAAAAACACAATGTACTGCTATTCTCCTTTCCCAGGGCAGCACAGGTATTTTAATGAAAGTCTTTTTTTTATACACCTCATAACATTATTCTTGAAAAGAATAGAGCTAAGCATTTGATACCTTTTTGGCAGTGAAGTATTCTCGCACTCCAAAGCTCAGCCAAATGTGAAGAGCAAAGACTCTTAAGCCCGGTTACCTGGGTTCAATCTCTATACCACACTTCCTAGCAGTGTGAAATTGAGCAGGTCATTTAACCTTTTAGTGTCTCAGTTTACTTATCTGTAAAGTGGGGGTAACAATACCACCTACCTTTTTGAATTGCTGTGAGAATTAAATAAGCTAATACATATGCATAGTTTAGAAACTGTACCCAGCACAAAGTACCCGGTAAGTCTTGGTTAATATTATAATGATTAACACTATCATCATCATCATCATCTTTTTCCCATGGTTTGGGAAACTGTACTGACCTCCTGTAACATATCAGAGTCTTCAATGGCTTTGACAGCAATTTTCTTGGACGTTTCCTGAATTTCTCCACCTATTATAAACTCGTCCAGGATGAAATAAGCCTTTTCAAAATTGAAGATAATATCCAGCTCGCAGACCTGGTAGGACAAAAACAAATGTTTTGATAAACTTGCAGTTGTATCACGGGAAATATCTGCCTGAATCTCGAGCTTTTTCAGTTTGCACTCATGTGGCATACCAAAAATAAAAATATCAGACGGCATTTTAAGGACAGAAAAAAAAAGAAAGAGGAATGCCAGGCCTTTAACAAAAGAAAAGCCACATTCTATTAAAGCAAAGCATGTACTTAGATAATAATGTTTTGTGTTGCAACAGGAAATTTGAGACTCCGTAAGGGAATGAGGCCACTCGGCTCTTCTTTCTATCTGCACCAAGAAAACTGAGCCCCAGCTGCATTCCAGGCAGGAGGGCAGAGCTTCATTTCTCCTGCTCTCTGCTCTGTACATCTTGGCTTCTAGCTTTAGAACTCTCTCAGAAACTCACTCTTCAGAGGAAAATGAGCTCAACTGTGCTAATTTTTCTCAAAATTATGTCACAGCCAGTGATTCTCAAATTCATTCCAAAGGCTCATTAAAACACACAGGTGCTGGGCCCCACCCCCAGAATTTATGACTCAGGAGCTCTAGATAAGAACTGAGAATCTGCACTTTTAACAGGCTCCCAGGTGATGCTGAGGCCTCTGGCCTGGAGGGCTTCACATCAAGAACCCCTGGCACAGACCAAAGCAGAGTCTGATAGATTCTGGTGTTTATTTAAAGTGTGGCAAGTATGGCAGAATCTCTCTCATCATCCAAATAAGGCTCATTTCCAATACTCACACACTCCTTGCTGTCTTCCTCTCCACTTGTTCCTGTACTCACTGACACCTTCTCTTTCCAAACCATACCCCACCCACCCAACTGAAGCTGTTCTCTTGAAACTCTGCTCATTGAAAGTCTCCAGACCTCCCCAACATTTACCTCTCAGCAGCATGTGGTACTCTTCACCATCTCTGATCCTTGAAAATCTCCCTTGCTCTCCTGATTTTGGCAATACTGCTTAACGCCTCTTTTTCTCCTCTATCTCTGATCATTCCTTCTCAGACTGCTTGGATAATTTATCTCCCTCCTACCCTGCATTTGTTTAGGAAATATTTTGGTGTGCCTAGCACCTATCAATCAACAGAACAGGCAAACATCTCTGCTGCACGTTGTTTATATTCTAGCCATCCATCTTCTCCTTGAATTTTCATGTTCCTCAAGAAAGCCTTCTCTCTTTGCAAAATGCATATTCTCCTGGACAAACTCACTGACTCTACTGCTGTGTCTAGCATGCAGGTAGCTCAACAAACCTAGATGACTAGCCCTGATTTCCCTCTGAGCCACTAGTCCAATATTTTCACCCACTAACTAGACACCTTTACATGCCTATTCCTCAATCCATGTCACCATGTCCCAAACTGATATCAAGATTATTCTTTTTCCTGTAGTCCCTTTTTTGCCTAGTAGTTGTAACCTCTTTCTAATTGCTCCATCTAATTCATTCTAGAGTTCAACCAACTTACTTTCCCTTCCCCCCTTATTCCTCTCCCTCCCTTGATCTCATCCATCTGGATTTGGTCATCAGTTCCTACTGATTCTGTTGTCTAACTAAATCCCTACCCTTCTTCGCTTCTCTGCTTTCACAGCTGCTGCTCAGACTTGCAACACCTCTCAATCAGGCCACTGCCATGACCTTCCAGGTGGCAGCTGTTCCTGCTCAAGGCCTTTGACCACTAATGCTTTGCTAAAATGCTGATCTTGGCCAGGTGTGTGGCTCATGACTGCAATGCCAGCACTTTGGAAGGCCGAGGCAAGTGGATCACCTGAGGTCAGGAGTTCGAGACCAGCCTGGCCAACATGGTGAAACCCCCATCTCTACTAAAACTACAAAAAATCAGCTGAGCGTGGTGGTGGGTGCCTGTAATTCCAGCTACTTGGAAGGCTGAGACAGGAGAATTGCTCGAACCCAGGAGGCAGAGGTTGCAATGAGCCGAGATCATGTCATTGCACTCCAGCGTAGGTGACAGAGTGAGACTGTCAAAAAAATGGCTGATGTTATGCCTCTCTTGTGTAAGGTCTTATATTCAGGACAAAGGCATATACGAATCTCTACCAGCCTATGCTCTGTTGTCTGATTTCCTGCACCAGTGCTCATCCGTGCGTCTGACACACATGCCACAAACTCACAATGTCACGGTCGTTTTTTTGTGCCTTTGCCCTTTGCACATTCCAACAATTTTAGGATCATGTCTTCAAATGTCCTTTTCTTTATTCTCCTGCTGGCAAATCAAACTCATTTTTTTCAAGGCCAAATTCAAAAGTCAGGCACATGGTGATTCCCCAAATCCCCTTTTCCCCATTCAGATTTCACACCACTTCCTGTGGGTTCTCACCTACATCTTCTGTGCACTAGTTTATGCTTATTGATTACTAACCACTCCCCGTACGGTGAGTTCAAGGTAAAAACTTTGTCTTCATCATCTTTATACCCCTGGTTTCTGGCACATTGTAAGACACGAAAAAAATGCTTGCAAGATAAATGCATGAGGAAGCTTAAATAGAGGCCTTGTTAGGGCACAGTGGCTCACGCCTGTAATTCCAGCACTTTGGGAGGCTGAGGCGGGTGGATCACCTGAGATTAGGAGTTTGAGACAACCTGGTGAAATCCCATCTCCACTGAAAATACAAAAATTAGCTGGGCATGGTGGTGCACGCCTGTAATCCCAGCTACTCAGGAGGCTGAGGCAGGGGAATTGCTTGAATCCGGGAGGCAGAGGTTGCAGTGAGCCAAGACTGTGCCAGGGCACTCCAGCCTGGGTGACAGAGCAAGACTCCGTCTCAAAAATAAATAAATATAGGCCTTGTTTCTAATATGCTAGAGATTAATGGCATCCTAGATAAAATTCTATGGTTGTACTGAATGCTATAACTTTGCATGAAATAGATGTCAATATTTTAGCAAATTCCTCCATATATTTACAAGTTAGGTCAATATACTAGCAGACTCCACAGGGAACGTGGTTTAAGTTGACAGATCCAAATGAATCCAACTTCCACGCAGAATTCCCATGTGCCATACTGGGGTATATCATAGTTTATTTAAGCAGTTCCTTTATGGATATGGGCAGACTTTGGGCTGTTTCCAATTTTTATTCTAAATGATGCTGCCATAATTTTTGTTGCCCATATACAGCATTGCATGCTAATTTGAGGATAGCATAGGAATAAATTCCTTGGAGAATTGTTGGTCAAAGGATTTGTACATTTAAAATTAATAAATACTAAAATTTGGTCCTCCAAAATAGGCTATAAAACTTAAAAATTTCACTAATAGTAAGAGTGATGGCCTACTTATCTATACTATATCCAGCAATGGATAGTCTCTAAATTTTCAGATGAACATTAATTAAATTTGCATTTCCCTGCTTATTAGTGAGACTGTACATCTTACTAGATGTGCACTGGCCTTTTCCATTTCTTGCCTTGTCTATAAATTGCTTCTTAAAGACTTTGCTTTTCTCTACTGTAATATTTGTCTTAGAAATTTGAATAATTCTTTCTGCATCACAGATACTATCTCCTTTCCCTGTTGTTGTATATGTTGCAAGCATTTTCTGTGTAGAAGCTGAAAAGAATGAGATAGATTTTATGCACAAATATGGCAAGAGCTCTAAGACTTGTAAGGGGGAGAAAAAAGAAAGTTGCACAATAATATGCAGAATGCAATCCCATTTTTAAAAGCCATATATCTAGAGGGCTATGTAAAAATTTGCATCATTCTTGCAGTTTTAAACAATAGAAAGAAACAACAAGAAATCACAATAGATCAGACATCCATATACATGAAAGAAGGTATGAGAAGAAAGCAGTTACCAGAGGTCAGAAAAGGCAGAAGTCAGGAGTTATAGTAGCAAGCTGAGGAACCTCAGAGTTCAAGGCGTAGACCAGGAATCCAAGACAGACAGGAGCCTCATTAGGAGAAACCAGCAGTTAACATCCTGCAAAGTGAACCTGACAAATACTAATGAAAATTCTCCAGGAACTTCTTATATCCCACTTTGACACAACCCCAGGTCTGGGTCCTCCAGCAGCCATGGGGCAATCAGTTTACTGTACTTGTTTCGAGGGATAAGGGTAAGGTAAGGTGGTATGCAGAATTAGAGGCACAATACACACACACACACACACACACACACACACACACCTTGGTTTGTAGTTACTATCTTTAGATCATAAGAGAAATGAATATGCAAGTTCCATAGGCATTATAGAGAATGTTACAACTGAGCAACTATTTCACATACAGCCACTCGAAAGTGCTACCCCACGGTTATTCTTTGAGTCTAATGCCATCTGAGAATGAGAGAAAACATCCAGGAAGACCTCAGACCAGTTCAGGTATTTTGTGTTTTTTGTGTTTTTTTGGAGACAGAGTCTCATTCTGCTGCCCGGGTTGGAGTGCAGTGGAGCCATCTCAGCTCACCACCTCCTGGGTTCAAGCAATTCTTCTGTCTCAGCCTCCTGAGTAGCTGAGATTACAGGCATGTGCCACCATGCCTGGCTAATTGTGTGTGTGTGTGTGTGTGTGTGTGTGTGTGTGTGTGTGTGTGTGTGTGTGTTTAGTAGAGATGGGGTTTCACCGTGTTGGCCAGACTGGTCTTGAACTCCTGACTTTAAGTGATCCCCCTGCCTTGGCCTCCCAAAGAGCTAAGATTACAGGCATGAGCCATTGTTCCCAGCTCCAGTTCAGATTTCCAAAGCTACTGCCTAATTACTTGTGCCTGTAATCCCAGCACTTTGGGAGGCCAAGGCAGGCTAATCACTTGAGGTCAAGAGTTTCAGACCAGACTGGCCAACATGGTGAAACACTGTCTCTACTAAAACTACAAAAGATTAGCCAGGCATGGTGGCACATGCCTGTAATCCCAGTTACTCGAGAGGCTGAGGCAGGAGAATTGCTTGAACCTAGAAAGCAGAGGCTGCAGTGAGTCAAGATCATGTGACTGCACTCCAACCTCGGTGACAAAGTAAGACTCCATCTCAGGAGAAAGAAACAAAATAAAATAAAATAAAATAAGATAAATTCCACCTTGAGGTTGTCCCAACACAACAAAAATATGTCCCTGATGCTCAAGTGACTCCACTTTTCTAATTATGCAAATAGCCCTGGCTTCTTCCTCCATCGCCATGTTAATAAACACATGAGCCTCTTTATTTTCTAGTGTATCTAGATTCTGAATAAAGCTTTAAAAAGATAAGAACTATCATTTAACTTTATCTTCAACATCCTAGCCTTGTGCTTTACTGCAATTTGGCTTGAGGTTCTTCTCTAACAGCAGAATTCACGGTGCAGTGAGATTATTTCTGGCATTTCCCCAACTGAATCCTTTTGGACAGACTCTAAGAAGCACCTGTCCTTATTAAATTATGCTCTAAAGTAAATACAAAAAGTTTCAAGTTACATGCAACAAATGCTTCAAATAATAAGAAACTATATAAGTACCATAAAGCTATATATAAAATAAGAATAATTAAAATGCAATCTACACTACATAGCAATGAACAGTTTATTAAGTATCACTCTCTCTTCACCCCTTCTAGCAGACCTATCAGGTTAGCAAAGTAAACACTTCTCTTAACCTTTTTGAGGGTCATTTTTCTCATCTGTAAAACAGAGACACATGACAGGCCCCAAATCCTTGATCTGGTGAGTGAGTGAGCCTATACCAGCATCTGGGGACTCATGGTGCTCTTCACCTGACAGCAAAAAACAAACAAACAAAAAACTCCCTACACCAAGGACAAAAGCCCTCTGAGACATCAACATCCACACACACTGAGGGCGCCAGTAAAAATTCACACTACAGTCTGTAAAGCAGAAACATGGCAGGTATCTAAATCCTTAGACTCTTATGTGGCATGAGACTCTGAGGCATTTCCTCTGAGCCTCTATAAATTGGGGTTGATGCTACTTACTGAAGATCGGAAGATTAACTAGTTAATCCTTGTAAATCTCCTTGGAATCGAAAAGTGCTAAAAAAAATACATAAATTAGTGGCCAGAGATTTTGATCCATCTGTCTTCAGTAGATGATATTTTCCAGTGTTATACGAGAGGCTCAGTACCAAGATTTTCCCTGGATAATATTATATAAGGGCAGAATTCAAGGAAAGCTTTAGTATTAATACAGAAGGAAAAGAAAACCGAAGAGAAATATTTTATTGCTGAGATGATGTCAATGAGAATCAGGACTGGAAGTCTGCTCATCACCGTTAATTAATAAGAACTGAACATCTACTGGGCATATAGCCTTGAATTGCTCTTAGCTGTTCTTAGCTTAATGAAAGATTCAGTGAATTTTTTAATAAATTAAATTTTGGTACATGACAAAGACAGAGCTTCCAAAGGTATACCAAAATAGAATGGAAAATTAATATTAGAGAAATGGGATTCATTCCGATGCTCTTTGTACTTTAATTGGGCTTAGGGTTGGTGAAGGTTACTCAATTTCTCTTGAGAAGCAGAATGCCCTGAGATATCTGGTTGAAATTCGGTCAGATAGATTGAGGTCAAAATTCAGCCCCAATTCACATCATCAGAGCTGGTTTAACCTAGGAAAATGCAACAGATCAAGCCAGAGTTCAGAAATGAGAAAGAGAAAGCAGGTTAGAGGAATGCCCAGACCTCACGAAAACTTCTTCAGGCTCTTAGAAAAGGTCAAGTCTGTAGTTTATTTCAAAGGAAAGTACAAAAATGTGAGAATTAATTTGAATAGTAGGAAGCATCAAATTAAATAATATGTTTGAAAATATGCTATTATACATTTGCAAATTTCTCCTTTAAAAAAATGAAAATAAACTTGTTACACCAAGAGCAGAAAGAAAACATGGTCTAGTTGTCTTATTTCTGTTATATACTGACTAACAACCTGAAATCCCTCAACAACATTCTAGGTCTTAAAACATCATTTCCAAGCGGGAAAAAAGGGAGGGAGGAAAAATTCTTTTAGAAATCTTTCCAGTGTTCATCCTTATGAAAAGTGTTGCAACAAATCTGATAAAACTCACTCAGTACTGCAAATACTGCTCATTCCATTAAAGAGAGTAACAAAAAAACTCTTCTGGAAGCAAATTATCCTAACACTTAACACACATCTTCAGTGAGTAAGGGAATAGGGAAGAGGGTATTACTGAGAAGAAAACGTTTTCCAAAATCCAGTGATTTATTTCTTGAGACTGTGAACTGGATTAAATGTTTTGGAAGATTTGCTATCAAATCTGGCACAGCACTGGTTACAAGTTAAGTGGCAGGGAGATAAAATGAGTCACAAGGCGTGGTCTAAAGAGACTCGTAATTTGGTGGTCAAGTAAATCTGCTTCCAGCTAGACACACTCCAAGGTCGTTCCTTGTTGCTGAATATAAAACAGGAAATGTAGGCTGGACATGGTGGCGCACATCTATAACCCCAGCACTTTGGGAGGCCAAGGCAGGCAGATCACCTGAGGTCAGGAGTTCAAGACTAGTCTGGCCAACATGGTGAAACCCTATCTCTACTAAAAACATAAAAATTAGCTGGGCGTGGTGGTGGACACCTGTAATCCTAGCTACTCGGGAGGCTGAGGCAGGATCACTTGAACTCAGTAGGTGGAGGTTGCAGTGAGCAGAGGTTGTGCCATTGCACTCCAGTCTGGGAAACAAGAGCAAAACTCTGTCTCAATAAATAAATAAAAAGGGAAATGCAACAAGCCTGGAGGAGTGTTCAGGGATCCATGCTTTGAAAGGTTAAACAACAGGCTAGGGGCTTTGATTTTATTCACTGTACATAACGGCAAGTGGCTATGAAGGAACGCCACACTTAGATTTGTTTTTTTTAAGGAAGATGGTAACTAATAGGGCAAGAGAGTGAACAGAGAAAAGTTCAGAGGCATAAAAATCCAGATAGGATGTTTAAGAGAGATGCAAAATTAAAATCCCAAGTGAACCTATATTAGTGAGAGTGGAAAGAAGGGAATGAATGTCAGCCCAATTTGAATGGAGGCAGATTCTGGTAAGGCACAGAAAAAGACAAAAGCAGCAGCATCCTTTCGCACTGAAGGATCCTGGGACATTAAAAATTCCAGTCACACGACAGAACGGGTTTTCAGAAGATGGGTTTGATTCTGGACCATGAGAATCTCAGTGAAGACTGTCACCAACAAGGGGAAGAAGAGTCACTTAGTAAGGGATTTCCAGGATGAGAGTCACTATATACAGAGTTAGGAAGAGATGAGAGCATTCAGGGATGGGCAGAGGAAGGGAGCTGAGTGGAAGAAACCAAGGAGGGGCCTTCAGAAATAACAGGACAAGAGCTGGCAGAAATCAGTGTCATGGCAAAATCAAGAGGGGCCAATTTAAAAAAAGCTTCACGGTGAGCAGGGGTCCAGTGCTGTAGTGAGAGGCAGGTGAAAGCAGGTGAAGACTTAAGAGGAATTGCTGGTGTCAACCCATGGGAGGGTTCCAAGGTAACTTGCTGATTTCCTTGGAGAGTAAAGATGGACCCATGCTGTAAGCACTGCAGAGTGAATGGGTTCTGAGGACTGGAGCACCTGGTATAGTATATCACTTGGCAGAAAATGCAAAAAGATTATTGAACAGCAATGTGAATGAAAAGGATTTGGGTTTTTTGTTTGTTGCTATTTTTCTTATGCATAAATAATTAAGAATACTTATAGCTTAGAAAAAAAAAACAGAGAAAGGATAAAAAGTCAAAACAGAAAAGAGATGACAAAGCCAATGAAGAATAAGGGACAGAATATCAAGAAATCCTTTATAGTTACATTCTGATTCATTGAAATAAGGTCTCTGGTGTATTTGTGGTAAGATAAAGACACATCCACCTCTTGAAAGCTTTGGGTGGCTGAGCACAGTAGCTCATGCCTATAACCCAGTTCTTTGGAATGCTGAGGTGGGAGAATTGCTTCAGGCCAAGAGTTCAAGACCAACCTTGTCAACATAGCAGGACTCCATCTCTATTGAGAAAGAATTGCAGGTAGGAAGAAAGGTCTTGTATGCTAATCTTAGGGGGACTAAGGTGATCTTTGATTCAAGCTCAATTCATGTTTTAGACGTGAGGGAGAGAAGGGGTAACAGACTGAAGTAAGAGCTGAGATGAGGACTGTAACTAATCCTACCAACAGGCACACACTTACATTTCCAAAATATTTGTCCAGCAGTTCCACATAGCGATGCACAATCTCTAGCGTCAAGAGCTCATTGTCCTGATTTTCTACTGCACAGCAAAAATATAAACTAGCATACCTTGAAATGAAAAATAACAAAAGCAAAATATGATGATATGTTAAGCAACCTGAAGACAGTTTTTTTCACATGAATATGCAAAGTCATCTCCTCCCCGCTGAGCCTCTCCCCATCCAAGGATGAAATCATTATTCATCGCCCTCAGTAGCCTCCTGAAATATAAATCAGAATATATAAAAATGCTGCAGATATTGGATTACTTCTGTTAATTATATATGAAAGGCTCTCAACAAAATTTTACCTTGAGGAGGTATTATCAGGAGGACAGTGTCCTTTGGCCCATGGTATATCAGGGTGTCTTTTCACATCCCTCTCCAGCTTGTCAATTGTTTTTTGTAAAACAGAAAGCCCTGACCAGTGTTCTCAGGAGTCCACGCTCCCCACCCTCCCACTTATGAATGTGCTTCGCTCACTCTGTGTGTGCCTCCCCTCCTCAAATTGTCAAACTCCAATCTTGGGCCCAGCAGAAGGAGGTTTGCAGGCACTTACTGGTAATTTACTCCATTAAATATCAGTCTGCAGAGGTTACCTCTGTTTTTCCCAATGAGGTTTATAAACACCCTTTGCAAGAGCCTCTCTAATGTGCATTTTCCTTCCAGGAGATGCAGTAGGGTGTTGGATGCAGGGTCTGGTCAGCTGTGTTCTGTTCCTGGCTTACACATCAATTACCTGGGTCTCCAAGAGCAAAATTATGTTACCTCTCAGCTTTGGTTCTCTTATCTATAAATTGAGAGTGTTTTCTAGTACGGTCTTGCCATGGCAAGCAAGTGTGGTAAAAAGAATATACAGGCTTCAAAGCCAAAAAGATCTGGATTTGAATCGTGGCTCTACCAATTAACCCTCAATTACTGTGACTGGGAACTGACTACTGAAACTCTTCATGTCCTCAATTTACTCATTACAAATGTAAGTAACAGGTATAACAAGAGCTGCCCCACTGAACACATCCCCATCTCTCTCTGTCATGCTAACCTCCATTTTATTCCAAAGCACTTGTTACTAACTCAATCTTTTTTATTTGGTTACGTAATAAATAAGTACATTCTGGATGGGCATGGTGGCCCACGCCTGTAATCTCAGCACTTTGGGAGGCCAAGGCAGGTGGATCACCTGAGGTCAGGAGTTCAAGACCAGCCTGACCAACATGCTGAAACCCTGTCTTTACTAAAAATACAAAAATTAGCCTGGCATGGTGGTTCATGCCTGTAGTCCCAGCTACTCGGGGAGGCTGAGGCAGGAGAATCACTTGAACCCGGAAGGCAGAGGTTGCAGTAAGCCAATATCATGTCACTGCACTCCAGCCTGGACAACAAAGCGAGACTCCATCTCAAAAAATAATAAATAAGTACACTCCATGAGAGCAGGAATGTCATATGTCTTGTTCACTCAGCCATTAGAACAATGCCAAAAATGGCCAGGTGCGGTGGCCCACACTTGTAATCCCAGCACTTACGGAGATGGATCACCTGAGCTCAGAATTTGAGACCAGGCTAGCCAACATGGTGAAACCCTGTCTCTCTTAAATTACATAAATTAGCCAGACATGGTGGCAGATGCCTATAATCCCAGCTACTTGGGAGGCTGAGGCAAGAGAATCACTTGAATCCAGGAGGTGGAAGTTGCAGTGAGCTGAGATCACGCCACGGCATTCCAGCCTGGGCAACAGAGTGAGACTCCATCTCCAAAAAAATAAAAAAGAACAACGCCAGGAAGGTAACAGGTGCTCATACCATTTTTCTTGAATGCATGCGTGCACTATAAAGGTGTAGTTCAAGTACCTACAATTTATTCTGGCACCTAGAATTTCTTTCGGTAACATGAGAGTTCTTTTCTAGTTAGTCTATTGGTACAAATATCTGGATCCTAGCCTTCAAAGATTTCAGTAAATGATGGAATTGGTATAGCAATCTAAAATGTTCAGGATTCGAACCAACCATTAGAATAAACCAAAGCAAGACTGGGAAATTAAGCTCTCATAAAGTTACTCACACCTTTTATAAACAAGTTTTAGCTCCTTCCAGTCAATAAAACTGCTTGTCCTGTGACCACGGGAGAGAATAATCTGAACAATTTCCCGGGTGATCTTCTTCCTCTCTTTGTCAGGGAGAGTGACATACCATTTCTGCAGCCGTAATTTCCCTTGTCGACTGAAGAGCAATATGAAATGTATCTAGAACAAACAAAGGACACAAAAAACAGAACCTGGTCAACTAAGGCATTCTGCCATTTTGCTTAGACACTGAAATTCAGTGGAGGAGTTTACAAAGAAATAGCATTCTGAACAGATGAAAAAATACTTACCAGCATGAAACTAGCTCATCTAACAAATCATATTTAACCCATCAGAGAAAAAAGAAATGTGTAAATCATACTTTTATTATAGGAGAAAAATAAGTTTTTTATTTTTTTTATTTTTATTTTTTTTTAAGACAGGGTCCTGCTCTGCTGCTCAGGCTGGAGTGCAGTGGCATGATCTCGGCTCACCGCAACCTCCGCCTTCTGGGTTCAAGCAATTCTCCTGTTTCAGCCTCCTGAGTAGCTGGGACTACAGGTACGTCCTACCACTCCTAGCTAATTTTTGTATTTTTAGTAGAGAAAGGATTTCTCCATGTTGACCAGGATGGTCTCGAACTCCCAACCTCAGGTGTTCTGCCCACCTCAGCCTCCCAAAGTGCTGGGATTACAAGCGTGAGCCACCGTGCCCAGCTTTATTTTCATTCTTTTTAAATGTTATAAACACATATAGGGAAAAATACGGCCAGAAAGTAGTAGTGCTTCTGTTTTGAAAACATTAATTTCTTCCTTCATAAGACAAAAATAAAATTTTAAGAACAGAAGGGTTTACTTTAAAAATTACTTCCCAGCACCATATTCAACTATAGAAACATAATGATAATATGGAAATAAAGGGGAGAAGGAAAGGAAGTGAGGCTGAAGCAAGGGGAAAGAGAAAGTGAGAAGGGAACCATGTTCCGCCTTAAATGTAAGCTCTTTTTTTTTGTTGTTTTTGAGACAGAGTCTTGCTTTGCCACCCTCCGCCACCCAGCTACAAACGATTTTCATGCGTCAGCCTCCCGAGTAGCTGAGATTACATGTGCACACCACCATGCTCAGCTAATTTTTTGTGTGTTTTTAGTAAAGACCGGGTTGACCCATGTTGGGCAGGCTGGTCTCAAACTCCTGGTCTCAGATGATCCGCCCACCTCAGCCCCGCAAAATCCTGGGGTTGCAGGCATGAGCCACTGCACCTA